AGACCAGCATGCGAAGTTCAACTTTTGCAAGATCCAATAAAAGTTCCATCAACCTGTGAAGTAATGCACGTCCAAATCGGAACATCCATATTCCACAAGAAACGATTCAAGAACGAGTGGATATACGTAACTAATTATGATGTAGTATTTGTTACATGCGACGAAGACAAGGAATCCACAAGTCACACACTAAGGGGAGTAGGCATTTTGCGACTCAACGAAACTTGCAAAGGATACGCCGCAAGAGACGTACTTATACCAGGAAAAGTAGACTACAAATCTGAATATATGGATTTCAACCCGAAGTCAACTATAGAACGTATCAAAGATATGCCGTACACCGACAACAATAATTTGATGGAAGACTACCACGTAAAAACAAATAACATGGATGACTTACATACCGTGTCAGGTTCAAAGAAACAACTTGAAACACAACGCAAGGTTGATCACAAGATAAACGAACTAAAGAATACACAGCAAGTAAACGACTACGTACTTTACGTAATCACAAGTATCACTTTTATGGCAATTATCATTATATGTTTATCCAAATACAATAACTTTAAATGTTACGAAAAAATAAACACGGAAGAGGAACCAAACCAAGATGAAGAAAGTGAAAGCTTAGCTACAGCACCTAGAGCAGTCGACATGGTCGAATATCCTCTTACGCCTAGGAATAGCCCAATAAGCTATCCAAATACAAGACAGTTTAACTTCAATTAAAACTTTTTCGGAAGTCAGGGACTTCCAGCTTCGAGGGGAGGAGTGTAGTAAACCGACAGAGTCGCTTTCCTATAATTATACATCATAAGGACTTTGCACTATATGATATATTGATCAACGACTATACCACGCCCTGAGGATTTATTACATATTTAAAAATCGCATAACGATTTCTAATAATACATATTGCCGAATAAACCAGTTCACAACTCAAGGTTTATTCGACAACTTTTAACATTTACGCCGGTACCTTGCATACCGCCGGTATTCCTTTGATCCACCTCCGAGTCTCTACCGTGTACCTAATAACCTAGGGAGACTTTGTATATATACGAGTCTCCGTCTGTATCTAAATTAGAATTAGCTCAGTGCTAGTACGACGTACATACTTGTAAGTACTTAGTATTAACCACTAATCTCTCGGGCAGACGCTTATCGCTCTGTCCTCAAATTTCTATATTCAAATGTAATACCATTATATTATTATTAACTTTAAAATAAATTACTTAAATTATAACGTTGTAACTTGTAACTCTGCAACCTTTTCTCCTACTCAATCATCAACGTCGTCAAACTCAAAATATAAGCGTTAGTGAGGGATCACTACACATAGAACATTGTGAATAGGATCATGGTATAAATTAGCAATAGCTTAAAATGTATCTAAATATTTTGATAGGTTATGCCATGATATATATTAAAATATACCAATATATTAATATAGGTACTTACATCAAATATGGTACCCACATAAAAGTTTCAAGTCCTCGTGAAATCATGAATAATATTTTTGAATTGCAACAAAATAACTAAAATTGGCTTATACGAGTTTAATAATAAGTTAATGAGTTTTTTCGGTATTATTTAAATGATTATAATACCTATAATGTAGAAAAGACTGTATCAAAGTCGAAATTAGTTGTTTGCGGGATCATTAATCCAACGGGTAGAAAATTTGATTGTTAATTTGCACATAATGGGTTTTAACTACGGTTTACATAAGTTTAAGGTAAATTTTGGGAAATCGAAATAAAAAACTTAAGTTTTTAGACCAAAATCAATAAAGACATTTCTATTCGTCTTCGTTTAATTCTTTATTAAGAGTATAACATATTGTATAAATATTATAGTACATGTATTCAATTTGTTTCTATAAAGCACCGTAGCCCGTAGGTAATTTATTTGACGTTGGTTAACTACACATTTTTAAAAAGAATCAAAATATCGAAGTCATCACTTTGGATTAATGTTACTATTGATCTCTGAGTTATGTATAAGTACCAAATATTACCTGGATTAGGCGTACCTAGGTTGACGCGTACTTGTGGGCCGCGTGGGTGATGATGTGCTTGTGGTGATCGACGGTGAGCAGTCGAGTCGGAAAACAAACAAGCGAAGTACAAAAATACGAAAGAAAAGAAACAAATAACGCACTGACAGGTGATGGTTGTGACTTTTTATTGGTTCAGTAGTTAATGTCAATATTCAATATAATCTAATACACAAAAAAGAGAAATATCGAATCCGCGAGTTCGTGCAAAAAGACGGCGGCGGTCAGTGTCGGTCGGAGTCGTGAAGACGAGAGAGCGCGCCTTGGCAATCCGGTTCGCTGGACGGCCGGCCGACGGTTCCAGGCGCGCGTGTTGCGCGCCGGCGTCGTCTGTCGTCGGTTTGATTGAGAAACCGCGGCGCGGCTTCCGCGCAAAGGCTGTTTGAATTCAAACAGATTTTGCACGGTACCACGTCAAGGTGCAAGAATTTAGACATGGCGACAGTATTAATTTATATTTTATCCTATAATGTGATAAATTTATGATTTATGGTTTGTATTGCCCTTACTGTGAATTATATTGCTTAAATATTACAATTCATGGTATGAGGACTAAACTAAGTGACTATCTAGTTACTAGATAGTCACTTAGTTGATACTAGATTCTAATAGCCGGTAATATGATACCAAATGAAATAAAAATTGTATAGACACATAAAATATTGTATTAATTTATTTGATTTTTCAGTGATTTAAGTTCCTACCTATATTAGCTGTGTACTATAATACTTTTTACAATTTTAAATACTTCAGCCATAATTTTCTTGTAAAATTTAAAAACTATATTTTATTTATTTGAATATCAAATATACAGTAGCAAAATTAAATATAGTAGTATTTAAGAATAATATAAAGTATACAAATATTTAAAAATATAATCAATATAGACATTAGACATATAGTAATAGTATAATATTACTTACCATCATTGGAGTATCTAATGAGGCCCCAGATCATATCTCCCCAGAGACCAAATTTTGTACATAATACAACAAGTAGGTATATAATATAGTATAATATGGAATGTTTATTAACCCTAGAGCACACGCTTCACGGTCAAAAAGACCGGGATTTTAGAATTTTGTTCATTGTTTCAAAAATATAAAATATTAACCTAATCCAACCTAAGTAACTTCTAATTAGGTGATAAACTAAAATTAGATACAACTCCCAAATGTATACGATCTGATGTCAGTAATATAGAAGTGTTCAAAGTTCATTACCAGGCATTACGTATTAATATACGGTCAAAAAGACCGTGTGCGTGATCGTAAAAAATCAAGTATGGGTTATTTTTTAACTGTATTTTTAACAATTGCTGCTCGATAAACAAAATTGATTGTTTATTATGTTTTCATTGTGACTGGTTAGTTGACCATGGTTTGCGCCATACTGTGTGTGACTAAAAAGACCGTGTGCGTGTATTCTCGTGAATATTGTAAATGCGTGTGATCTAGGGTTAAAAATTGTATATGGTATATCCACCCCCTTGAAAAAATTCTAGATACGCTACTACTTAGCATAGCCCATAGGTATGCCGTGTACTTCTATAATGATGGTCTAAAAAATGTAAATGATTAGTGATTACAATCTAAATCTATTACATGTGTAAGTTTTCTTTATAAAACAGTACAAAAAACAATGTTTCTATTAGGTATTCTATCTCAAAACATAAAATATAAATATGTACCCAGTAGCTGCGAATGAAGGTACATATATTATGTTGAGATATCTTTACAAGTCATTTAAAAACACTAACACAAGTACCTATAATAGTTCATATCCAAATGCGAATTTCTAGCAGAACAAGTACACTTTAATAATTACAACTATACTACGCATAACGTATTGTACACTTACCATAAAAAAAATATGTTTGAGAATATAGGTACCAAAATAGAAAATTTTAACGTTACAAACGAGAAACTGTAGAATTTAAAACAATTTCGGTCAGGTTTATTTACTTTCGAGGTTAGGTAGGTTACTGGTTAGGTTAAGTTTTAACATACGGATTTAAAAATTTCAAATTTCAAAGTTTGCATTGACCAGTCCATAATTTTATGAATTTTTAAATATTAAATTCCAAATTAATACTGTCCAGATTTTTAAGTTCCAGAATTGTACCGTCCAGATTTGCACCGTCTAGAATTGTATGGGTTTTTAATTATTAAATTCTAGATATGTACTGTCCAGAATATTATGGATTTTTAATTATTAAATTCCAGATATGTACCGTCCAATTTTTTACCGTCCAGATTCGTACCATCCAGATTTTTACCGTCCAGATCTGCACCGTCCAGAATATTATAGATTTTTAATTATTAAATTTCAGATTTGTACCGTCCAAGTTTTTACGTTCCAGAATTGTACCGTCCAGATTTGAAACGTCCAGGTTTTTACATTCCAGGTTTTTACGTGGACCCATAAATTAAATAGATAAAATAGTTTAAAGTTACTATTAATAGTAATAACAATAATAAATATCGAAACAGAAAACCCCTTATTCATAATAGTTTTCACATAGCATAATATTTTAATTAAATTTCTTTTTAAAATATTAAATATTTGCGTATTATATAAACTAATCGTTAAATACATTTAAGGAACATTAAAAAGATTTTTTTTTCATTTACAATTATTTTTTAAAACTATAATACAAATAATATATTATTATATAGGGTCAAGCAACAATTTATTGTGAGTCAGCTTTCTTGTTTGTTAATTAATCAATAAATACAAATGATTTGTATTGTATATTGATGTTATAACATGATTCAAAGTTTTAACGTTTTTTTCAAAAAAAACATTTTGTGTATGTGAACACAACATTCTAAAAAAAGGGGAAAATACAAAATACTACTTTGAATAAAACCATGGAAATAATTATTTATTTTAACTTACAGTACCTCCGGATATATTGGACTACCCGACCAGCACCGATATGGCGGTGAGGGAAGGAGGTAATGTCTCAATGCAATGTGCCGCGTCTGGATTTCCCACTCCCAGTATCACTTGGAGAAAGGAAGGTGGCCTTTCGATCTCCTTAAGCCCCAACACAGATGGTAAGTCATAATAAATATGATTGATCTATAAGAATAGAACACTAGAAATTATCAAATTAATATTGTCATGGTTAAAAATATAATATTTTATTGGAAACATTATTATTTTTCAATTTATTAATAGTTCAGAAATTTCAGTAGCTTGTTAATAAAAATTTAAAAAAAAACATAAGGTTCACTAATAGTACACCATCAGAAAACTGAAAACTTTAAAATTTTACCGAATAACAATTTTTTTTTTTTTATATTTTATACTAAACTTTTAATAAAAAAAAACTAAAAGGTAAAATAATGGCCTGAGTAAATCATATCTGAGTACAAAAATTATCAAAAGAAAAGATTTCAGGTGGGAAAATAAAATTTTTATAAATTAAATATATTCTGCAGACCATTTTCTTTAAAGTATTAGAATAGGATCCATTGCGGGATATCAACTGTACTTAATTCGTATTTATAGGACCAATGATATTTTGCAAACAAAACCGATTCACAATCATTTAGGTAGTAGTTACAAAATTAGAGCTGGTGAAAATACTCTGAAAATTTTGAAAATAATTTATACAGGGACTTACTAAATAATGAACAGCATGGTAGCATGTCTGCTACAGAATTTCCACTTGCTAAAGAAATAGAGAACTATTATTTTTAAAATATACATTAAATGTACGAGTAAAATATTTTACAGATGATAGTTGGAAATATTTAATACGTATAATATTATCCGAAAAGTATATTCGAAAATAAATAGAAAAATAATTACGGTGGTATGGACTCTGGAAGTATAATAGCCATCAGAAAACAATTTTATTTCATTTTCAATGTGATATTGAAATTCTTCCTTTATCGTACCCGTACGGGCATAACTTATATCTTGAAAAGGTTTTCTTAGTAAAAGGATTAGAATACATCTTGTACGATCGCGTTCACTGACGATGAAGTAAAAACGTATTCTACAGCTCAATAATACACTTACATTTAAGGGGCCTCGCTACGGTCATTATTTAAGGGGCGACATTTAGGCAATTTCTAATCTTGTCATAGCCGCCCGGGATCTATGTGTTAATTGTAAATGAGTATTAGTGTGAGTGAAATTAAATGAGGGTATCCTCTCTTGTACTCACATGCACATGTCAATATCTCGATAACCATATCAATTTCATTACATGCGCATTTTACAAAAACATACATTTGTTTTGACAACATTAAAGTTAGTTAATGGTGTGTGATTTTGATTCTGAAAAAATATTTGAATTCAGCAGAAAAATGTCTGTGGATCGTACCAAACATTTCCCGCTTTTAATATTAATTTTAATTTTAACTATGATTCGAAAAAGTTGAAATTTTCAAGTTTTCAATTACATTTCACATTAATATAAAATTTAGTTTTTACAAAGTAAATATTTTATGTCTGTTCATCTAAAATTAACGGCAATAGCGAGGCCCCTTAAGAGAGTTTGATTTTGTTATAACCACTTATCAGTCGTCACACAGACACAAGTAATATTTCCATACAGAAAATATCATTAGATATTATTAATATAATATTATAACTATATGATTCTACGTGAATCGTGACAAATAACCATTAGGTAAACACTACAGTATCCTATACTATACTACCCTATACCTACTGCCTAGTGCCTACACTTTATCTCAAAATAATAAGTAGTTATATTGTTTGATAATAAAATAATTTGCACTGTCTACAATTTTAGTAGACCATTCCCATTACGTAAGTACATCGAACATCAAAATATGTTATAAATAGTACCAATAATATTATAGATCAACAGTAAAATATCATATTATAATTTATGTAACACAAAGTATAAAATACGTATATAATAGACATACTTGTTAAATAATTTTTAATTCACTATCGCTATTATTTGAACAATTCGATGAATTTTAATAGGAAGCCTTATATAAAAATTACTAAATATGTATCAACATTTATGAATTACCATTGACTATAGATTAGAAAAAAGCATTTACGACAAATATACGCTTAATAATTTACTACCAGTAGTGGGTAAAAATATGAATACAATATATTATTATTTAGATTAAAATAATATGTAGTTTTACGATTGTTCGAACGCCGGTTAAAATCGTTCGAAATGTAAGAGCCGCTACGAGCTTTATTGATATCGACGGTGTATCACATAAACACAAATCGTTTTCAATATAATATAATATGCTAGAAATCATATTATTGAAAAATAGTTAAATATGTACCTAACATAAACCTCGGCTTATTTTGTTCAGGAAGTAATTTAGTAAACTATAGTATGGCCTATTTCAATATTGTAATATACCATACCTATGTAATGTAAGGGACGCGTTTTGTTTAAAAAATAAATTATTTTTTACTAAAGTTATTTGGAAAATAAAAACTACATATTATTATATATTATCTAATATCGATTACTGTGTTTATGTAAACTGCTGCGGGAGAAATAGCATATTATTATTATTAATATTATTATTATATGACACGTATAGTCAATTAATGTATGTTATACGTTATTATTTACTCCATCGATTTTCGTAACACAATGTCTTCTTAAGTTGAACCGATCATTATTTAACATGCACGTTACTATAATATGCTCTGCTCTTCGAGTCCTCTCGTCATATAGTTTAATGAGACAATGGAAAATACATCTTGGCGCGATTTCGCATCCGTTGTAACAACGGTGAGCTTGTTACGAGCGCTGTTTTAACGTTTCAAACGCATGTATACGGCGTTCTTTCTTTATAGCCATATTTTCATAACAATATCAAGACCGTATGATGACGATAATAATAATAATAATAATAATACTCTTTAGTCTTGACTTTTGACTAATAACCGAAATAACGACATCAAAAGTTATATAGCCGTATTATATAGTTATGGCCTCTGGATATCCCGCCGTGGAAGAATGGATACCGAATATAATATGGTACACAGAAAACTATCCGGAAAAAGTTCAAAGTTATTCGATTACCTAACTATATCTTTGTGTATCCACTATAATAATATAACGAACAATTTAAATACTATAAAACCATGCAGTTTTTATGGTTCTTGAGACGAATTATTATTTATTATTATTATTTTTTTTTCATAATATAACAAAACGGACTCTTTCGGTCGATATTTTTACAGCTTTCCTATATATATTATACATTTATTTATACGAGTGCATAAAGAATGCACGGTATAAAAATTTTAAATTTAAATTTTATAAAATATACCGTTTAAGTATAAAATACGTCACCTATATAATATTATGAATAGGTATTTGGCAGGTGGGTAATGGACATTTATTCAACAGTCATCCTTTTGCCACGAACTGTTTGCTGTTTTTTTTTTTCATCATCATCATTATTATTATTATTATTATTATTTAATTTGCAGAACAAATCAGCTCGTGGCGTAGATTTATCGGCAATGCCACCGTAGACTCACACGAGATTAATGGAACTTTGAGAGTATTACATTTTTAGCATTGTGTTTTGAATGCCATTGCGAGCCGGTTCGGTGTCGTGTTGATAAATATTTAAGTCGTTGCGAGGAGTGGCGTTTGATGGAATTACAATATATGTATAGGCACACCGTGAATGTAATGTACACCTAATAATATTTCAATACATTTTAATATATTATTTTACAAAGGTCGTACATGATTAGTCATCTCGGATATAGGATACATGATGTGTAACGGCTGCATGCAATATACGGCCTGAAACGCCTAAACGGGACAGCTAATGTTAAACGATTTGGTTTGTATCCAAATCTGTTTATTCATTGCGACCGAATATATTTAACTGTCGTGTGAGAACTTTCCATTTCATAGACAGTTTTGCTCTTAAAAGTAAAATATCAAAATACGGATTAACAATACATTTATTTTCGTCCATACTATTATTTTGAGTTTGAATCAAACGCGAAAATACTTAAAATTTATATATTTATTGGTATTTGGTTTTTTCCCGAAACATAACTAAATCTAGTCTATCTTCCGTTTTACAACTTTTGAATTATAATATTATATAAATTTGAATTTTATATCTAACTTTGACATAGGATATTATTATATTAATACTCACAAGATTCAGATTTAGACATTAAACAAAATGTTATGGGTTTTAAAATATTATGTAGGTATGTATAATTTTTCTGTTGGGTACCTAACTTATACAAAGTAAATACTATTTATCTCATGAAATATTCTAAATTGATAGTTGTATAATAATATATTGTATCAAAAATCAATGGCTGCATCTTATTGGAAAAAAAATGATTAAAACAATAACCTAAAATATTTAATAGGTTTCATTAATTTCAGTTCATCAGCTATGTATATTATTTCTACTTATTTTAATGTTATAATATCTTAATTTATACAACTAGCTTGATATTTTGATTTAACGACATATTCGTTTTATAGTAAAATGTATAAAACATTTACGGTCTGTTATAATTATAAAATAGTACTTGAATACAATTTATTAGCTTCTTTGAATACTTTTCAAAACTCCTTACTCAAATGTCTTCAACTTATTTAATTATTTTCAAATTAATATAGTGGCATTTAAGTAATTTTTGTACAACGAACTCTGAAAGCTGTGTTATTTTCGACGTTTTTCATTCAAGCGCAATATTGGCTAAACAATGTTTAATATTATTACTTTATCTTAATAAAAGGTTTTATTATAATTATATAATATTAAAGGTAACCATTAAATATTTCAAAATAACAATTTTTATAATTTTCAAACTTCATTGTTTTATACACAATGATTATAATCCAACAATTAAGGATATATGTATTGAATAATAATAACAGTGTATAAAGTATATACATTAGAAAAATTTACAATTATCTAAGTATATAATATAATAAATAAATAAATTAGAAATAAATTGTAATAAGTTTTTTTGAAACGCCAATTACCCCGGTAGTTGAGCCGTATTTTTAAATAATAATAATAAAAAAAAAAATATCTAA